CCAGCCCTGCATGGGGCTTGTCCAACCTGCTCTTCCCCCCCGCCCGGGCGCGGTTCCCACAGTGGCCCAGGTCCTGCTTCCAGGGCCCCCAGCCTCCCGAGGGGCAGCTGTTCCCCCACAGCCCCAGCTCCCCAGCTGGTGATGCCCATCCCCACGTGTCCTGCCCTCAGGGGCTGGGGGGCCTCGGCTCCCCCCTTCGGGACGGCCCTTCCCTGCGCCGTGCCCCCCCTGGGCCTGCGGCTCTCCAGCGGGCTCCTCAGGGCGAGTGGAGCCGGACCCCAGCCATGTGTCCGACTGGGACCCTCTAGGTAACAGAGCCTGCACTGAGCTCGGCCTGCCCTACAGCCGCGGCACGTGGGTGGGTCCTATTCACCCTGTGACCCCCCCAACCCTCTTCACCCTGTGACCCCCACATCCTCCTTCACCCTGTGACCCACCAGTCCCCCAGCCCCATTCGCCCTGTGAACCCTGGAGCACCCTTGTACACATATTTCTTGACTCCTTTAAAGAATTCTAATAGCCTGGCGAGGCGCGATTTTCCCTTAGCAAAATCCATGTTGTCTCTTCCCCAAAAGAGTGTGTTCATCGCTGTCGGACACTTCTGGTCTTTCCTGGAAGGTCAACCCGTTTGCCTGGCATTGAAGTTGGGTTTGCCGGCCTGCGTGTGCCAGGATCGCCTCGGGGGCCTTTTTTCAAAATTGGGGGCCCATTCGCTCTCCTCGGCTGTGTCTAGACAACAGGGTTTTGTCAACAAAATTGGACTTTTGTCGACAAAACCTACGTGTACACTACCGCTGAACAGAACTCGGCATTTTGTCAATGGCGGTAAGCCCCGTTCTACAAGGCATAACGCCTTCTGGCGACAGTTCTATGGCCAGAAGGCATGACCGTGTAGAGGCGATACTTTGCGTCTACACTCTCATGTGAGCAAAGCGGCTTGCTTTGTTGACAGAACCGGATGCAGTCTAGATACGCTTTGTCGACAGAAGCTTTGTCAACAGTATCGGGCAACAAGGCCTCTGTCAACAAAAGCCTGTAATCTAGACGTACCCCTCCCTTCCAGGCCCCTGCACTCAAAGATCAGGAGGCAGGCTGAAAAATGGCACCATGGAAAGAAAAAGAAATGGCTCTGGGTCGTTTTATTTGGCTTTGGAGGTCAGAGAATTCAGGGCCACATTTGCACTTTTTTCTCGGTCACCACAGTGTTTTGTGTTGTACGCTGGGAGCTGAGCTGTTCAGGGGGATAACGTGAGGCCAGCATTTGGGGTCGTTAAGCCTTGCACAAAATCACAGGCCTTGGTAACATTTTCCATTTTAACGCCCCAGCTCCATAGTCCCTACCTGCCGCAGCCGCCGCGATACGAACACAACGTTGCAAAACCTACGGGGGTAATAGTGTTTGTGCGCATGCGTACGTGTGTGCACGTCCGTGCCTCTCTCCCCCTCAAGCGACTGGTCCCAAGGAACCAGCCCCCTGCCCACAGGGGTGCACACGGACAATTCACAGCCACAGGCTGGGAGCTCCCTCCGCGGGCGGGGACGGCAGTGGGGCAAGGAAGAGTGAAAAGGCAACACGCCCCATTTGCACAGACATTGGCTCGTCTCTTCCCAGCCATGTTGTTCCCCCTTCGGGGGCTCGCTGAGAGGCGAGGCAGCCCGCACAGGGCCCCTGGCTGCAGAACGGCCCAGCTGGGCATTGCGTAGCATGGACATCGCAATGGTCTCTTCAAACAGCCCCCAGCCTGCCCCAGAGTGGAGCCTGCCCCAGGGGAAAGTCACACACGGGCAGGGAGATGAGCCAGAGTGAATAGGCAGGTGGGCAAAGCATGAGGGGAACCCAGGAGCATAAAGGCAGCCCGCACAGGGCCCCTGGCTGCAGAACGGCCCAGCTGGGCATTGCGTAGCATGGACATCGCAATGGTCTCTTCAAACAGCCCCCAGCCTGCCCCAGAGTGGAGCCTGCCCCAGGGGAAAGTCACACACGGGCAGGGAGATGAGCCAGAGTGAATAGGCAGGTGGGCAAAGCATGAGGGGAACCCAGGAGCATAAACTCCCTGGAGCATGGATATGCAGTGACCCCCCCACCCTTCTCTGAGCTGCTAGCGC